GCCAGCAAGAGTTGGGCCATAGGTCACCATGAGGGAGGGCCACCAAGAGTTGGCCATAGGCCACCACGAGCTGGCCACGGATAGCCACGATGGAGGTGCCACCAAAAGCTGGCCAAAGGTAGCCATGAGAGAGGGCTGCAATGAGTTGGCCACAAGTAGCCATGATGGAGGGGCCACCATGAGTTGGGCCACAGGTTACCATGAGGGAGGACCACCAAGAGTTGGCCATAGGCCACCACGAGGGCAACGGGGCCACCAAGAGCTGGCCACGAATAGCCATGAGGGAGGGGCTACCATGAGTTGGGCCACAGGTCACCACGAGAGAGGGCCACCAAGAGTTGGCCATAGGCCACCACAAGGGCCATGGACCACGAAGAGCTGGCCAGAGATAGCCATGATGAAGAAGCCACCATGAGTTGGCCACAAGTAGCCATGATAGACCATGAGTTGGGCCACAGGTCACCACGAGAGAGGACCACCAAGAGTTGGCCTTAAGCCACCACGAGGGCTACCAAGAGCTGGCCACCGATAGCCACGATGGAGGGGCCACCAAGAGCTGGCCACCAATAGCCACGATGGAGGGGCCACCAAGAGCTGGCCACCGATAGCCACGATGGAGGGGCCACCAAGAGCTGGCCACAGGTAGCCACAGGGACAGGCCCTCCCCTTGTCAGCCCGCAGCGTTGGTACCTGCTCTGCCATTGGGCTCTGCTCTGTGGGCTCTGTTTGCTGCTTCAGCTCCCGGTACTCCCGGTACAGCCCTGCCAAAGGGAACAAAGCAGAGCCGTGGTAATTAATTAGGGCAATTAGGAGGTAATTAATTCGAGAAATTAGGGATAAGGAGGTCCCACAGCCCCACACTCACGTTTGGTGTCCTCCGAAGCTGCCGCCACGTCGGCCTGCGAGGGAAACAGAGCACGGGGTTAATTTGGGTTGAAAGGCAGAAAAAGAAGCGATTTTGGGGTTGAACTGTCCAAAAAAAGGCACAACAGCCACAGAGAAACAACAAAAAAGGTCAATTAGGGGTAGGAATGTTCCAGAAGAGGCACTTATGGGGCAGAAATACCCACCAAAAGAACCCAGAAGGACATTTTTGGGGTAGAAATGCCTTCAAAAGCACCAAACGAGGCACTTTTAGGAGGTAAAGCAGGGAATTTAGGGAGAGAAACCCATCCAAAAGCACCAAAAAAGGCCTTTTTGAGGCAGAAATACACCAAAAAGCACAAAAAAAAGGCAGTTTTAGTGCAGAAATACTCCCAAAGCCCCCCAAAATGGCAATTTTGGGACAGAAATAGCCCAAAATCACCAAAAAAAGGCCCATTTGAGATAGAAACACCCCCAAATCACCAAAAAATCCCATTCTGGGGGCAGAAATACACCCAAAAGCACCAATAAAGGCCCATTTGGGGCAGAAATACCCCAAACAGCACCAAAAAAGGCAATTTTGGTGCAGAAATAAGCCAAAAGGAGACACTTTTGGGGTATCCCTGCCTCTGAATAGGCCTTTTTGGGACAGAAATACCCCCAAAAAACACCAAAAAAGGCCATTTTGGGACAAAAAGACCACAAAAAGAACCAAAAAAGGCCATTTTGGTGCAGAAAGAATCCAAAAAGAGGCACTTCTGGGGTATCCCTGCCCTGGAAGAGGCCATTCTGGGGGCAGAAATCAACCAAAAAGAGGCACTTTTGGGGTATCCCTGCCTTGGGAGAGGCTATTTTGGATCAGAAGTACCCCAAAAAGCACCAAAAAAGGCCATTTTTGGGCAGAAATAGCCCCAAGAAGCACCAAAAAAGGCCATTTTGGGACAGAAATCAACCAAAAAGAGGCACTTTTGGGGTATCCCTGCCCTGGGAGAGGCCATTTTGGGGCAGAAATACCGCAAAAAGCACTAAAAAAGGCCATTTTTGGGCAGAAATAGCCCCAAAAGCACCAATAAAGGCCCATTTTGGGGCAGAATCACCCCAAAAGACCCAAAAAAGGCCATTTGGGGGGCAAAAAGATCCCAAAAGCACACAGAAAAGGCCCTTTTGGGGGGCAGAAATACCCCCAAACCAGCAAAAAAGGCCCTTTGGGGGGCAGAAATACCCAAAAATCACCAAAAAAAGCCATTTTGGGGCAGAAATCCCCACAGAGGCCCGGTGAGGCCCCTCAGACCCCCCCACCCCCCAGGTTCCCCCCTCACTTTTCCCGGTTTCCGGCCGTTCTCCCGTTCGAAAACCGCCTCCCAGCCCTTCAGCATCGCCCGCAGTTCGCACAGCCGCTCCATGGGTTCGATTCGGTTCCGTTCCGGTTCGGTTCGGACCCTCAGAACCGCTCCGCTCCCTCCGTTCCCGTTCCTTTCCCTCAGCGCTACATCCCGCCGCGAACTTCCCGCTCTCTTTTCGCTCCACCAATAGAAACGTCGGAAAGGAGACGGGCGGTCGGAGAAACCAATGAGAAGCGTAGTAAAAGAGCAATCCCGCCTCTCGGCTGCTGTGATTGGAGGAGAGGCG